TGTGTGTGTGTGTGTGTGTGTGTGTGTGTGTGTGTGTGTGTGTGTGTGTAATATATATATATGTATAAGTACATATAAGTACTACTATAAGTACAGTATAGTAACAGCAAATGTGTCTTTTCGTGGGTTTACCCGACACAAGGTTGTCAAAATCTAGCACAATAACTGACCTAATTTCTGAATCTCCACCATTTTCTTTTAAATAAAAATGTGAAATTTGATAACTTTGATCTGTGATCTTGTAGTGTTCATGGCTAAATATTGCATCCTTTTTGATGTCCCTTTGTGACTGACTGAAGACCCTTGTTGATGTCAGGACACACCAGAGTTTGACATGTAAATGGTAAATGGACTGTACTTATACAGCACCTTTCTCTCCATCCAGGACACTCAGAGCTCTTCACTCTACAATCTGTGTCCTCATTTATCCATTCACACAGCACTCTGTTAGGTACAGAGCTAACATGTACAATCATCTATGGAGACTAATCAGTACCAGTCACATTCATACACTGATGAGACACACATCAGAGGCATTAGGGCTGAAGTGTCTTGCCCAAGGACACAACAACTGAGACAGCTGGACGGGGGATCGGACCGGTCAAACTAGATACAGCATTGCAGTAGCACATATGACCCCAGCATTGACACAAAGCACCTGAACCCAGAAGTCCTCAGAATGGGTTTATTGTTTCAGGTGGGGGGCCTCATTGGTGGGCCTGATGGACAGCCCTTCACAAGAACCATCTGAAGCTCCTGTGTGGAACAGTCTTTCAGTTGTAAACATATTGTATGTCCAAATACCACCTTCTCAGGTGGAGCCCCTCCTCAAATATGGGGTCTATCATAAAATCATCAGCTGGTCCAGTGTAGGTCTGACTCATCTACAGTCCTGACACGTCATGCTGAGCTTTCTCCTTCTTACAAATCACTTTCAGAAGATCACAGTGTGGAGGGTTGGAGGTTCTCCCTCTGGCATCCATGCTGCGTTACATCATGTCCAGAGGTTGAAGATCAGGAAGTCCTCCAGCAGCCAGAGATAGCCGAACCAGAGACAAACCCACCAGAGACAACCCAACCAGAGACAAACCCTGCCAGAGACAACCCAACCAGAGACAACCGAACCAGAGACAAACCCACCAGAGACAATAGAACCAGAGACAAACCCTGCCAGAGACAAAGCCAACCAGAGACAACCGAACCAGAGACAAACCCACCAGAGACAACCCAACCAGAGACAAACCCACCAAAGACAACCTAACCCCACCAGAGACAACCCAACCAGAGACAAACCCACCAAAGAGAACCCCAGCAGAGACAACCTAACCCCACCAGAGACAACCCAACCAGAGACAAACCCACCAGAGAACCCCAGCAGAGACAACCTAACCCCACCAGAGACAACCCAACCAGAGACAAACCCACCAGAGAGAACCCCAGCAGAGACAACCTTACCCCACCAGAGACAACCCAACCAGAGACAAACCCACCAGAGAAAACCCCAGCAGAGACAACCTTACCCCACCAGAGACAACCGAACCAGAGACAAACCCAAGCAGAGACAAACCCAAGCAGAGACAAATCCTGCCAGAGACAACCCAACCAGAGACAAATCCCGCCAGAGACAACCGAACCAGAGACAACCGAACCAGAGACAACCCACCAGAGACAACCCAACCAGAGACAAATCCCGCCAGAGACAACCGAACCAGAGACAACCGAACCAGAGACAAACCAACAAGAGACAACCCAACCAGAGACAACCCCATCAGAGACAACCCCACCAGANCCAACCAGAGACAACCCCATCAGAGACAACCCCACCAGAGACAACCCCACCAGAGACAACCCAACCAGAGACAACCTAACCAGAGACAACCGAACCAGAGACAACCGAACCAGAGACAACCGAACCAGAGACAAACCAACCAGAGACAAACCAACCAGAGACAACCCAACCAGAGACAACCCCACCAGAGACAACCCAACCAGAGACAACCCAACCAGAGACAACCCAACCAGAGACAACCCAACCAGAGGCTAACCCACCAGAGACAACCCAACCAGAGACAACCCACCAGAGACAACCCAACCACAGACAAATCCTGCCAGAGACAACCGAAACAGAGACAAACCCACCAGAGACAAACCCACCAGAGACAACCCAACCAGAGATAAACCCTGCCAGAGACAACCCAACCAGAGACAAACCCACCAGAGACAACCCAATCAGACAACCTACCAGAGACAAACCCACCAGAGACAACCGAACCAGAGACAAACCCTGCCAGAGACAACCCAACCAGAGNGACAAACCCTGCCAGAGACAACCCAACCAGAGACAACCCAATCAGACAACCTACCAGAGACAAACCCACCAGAGACAACCGAACCAGAGACAACCCACCAGAGACAAACCCTGCCAGAGACAACCCAACCCCAGCAGGTAAAGTTTGGTTCACTTTAAGTTTACACCATCTTCTGTGCTGAGTCATAATCCTGATCAGATTAAAAACGGTAAATGGACTGTACTTATATAGCACCTTTCTATCCATCCAGGACGCTCAAAGCTCTTCACTCTACAGACATTCACCCATGCACACACACATTCACACACTGATGGTGCTAAGCTACATTGTAGCCTCAGCTGCCCTGGGGCACACTGACAGAGGCGAGGCTGCCATACACAGGTGCCACCGGACCCTCTGACCACCATCAGTAGGCAAGGTGGGTGAAGTGTCTTGCTCAAGGACACAACGACTGAGACGACTGGACGGGGATCGAACCGGCGACCTTCTGGTTCCAGGACGACTCCCCTAACCACTCTACCACAGCTGCCCCTAACGCCCCAAAATGCAGTTTTCAATCTGATCTAAACAGTTTTGTTTGACTGTTTTATTGGCTGATTTTTTTTATGGTCTGTGGGAAGTGTGGACACACAGTCCAGTGGACACACAGTCCAGTGGACACACAGTCCAGTGGGGTGGACACACAGTCCAGTGGACACACAGTCCAGTGGACACACAGTCCAGTGGACAGACAGTCCAGTGGACACACAGTCCAGTGGACAGACAGTCCAGTCCAGTGGACACACAGTCCAGTGNACAGTCCAGTGGACAGACAGTCCAGTCCAGTGGACACACAGTCCAGTGGACAGACAGTCCAGTGGACAGACAGCTGTCTCCCACTGATAAACAAATCTTGTTAACAGACTAAATTGACCTGATGATTGGACTTCCTGTCACCTGCAGCTCAGGTAAGCAGCAGGTGGAGCTCAGAGAACTGAAGCTGTTCTCAGAAAAAAACTCTTTTGTTCTTCAGCAGCTTCTTTTTCAGTTCACTCAGTTTTTACTCTTTAGTTTTAAACCTGTGGTGTTATTTTCACTTTGTTTCTTTTTCACTTTTTATCAGATAAATTTATTTCTGATTTTCAGCAAACCAGAGACCTGAAGGACCAGGACCAGAACCAGGACCAGGATTTTAGTCCTTTGAAGAGTCAGTGAACTCACCATGTCTGCTGCTGCTTCACTTCCTGCTTGAGACCAGACTTAAGAAATCTTCAGTCAGTCAGATCCAGGTGGGTCCAGATCGACCCAGGTGGGTTCTGATGGGTCCAGGTGAACGTGGACCTGTTGAGTCCGGATCAGAGAGCTCAGGTTTGGATCAGTTTCCTGTCAACATGTTTTTCTTCGTCACTTTTCTGTTTTTCTTCCTTCAGTCTCAGAGTCTAAACTCCCTGCAGGTGTGGGCAGGTATTGCCCCGCCCCCTCCTTCTGTGACTCTGGAACTCTGGGTAATGGAGTCTCAGCCCTCCAGGAGTGACTCTGCTGACACCCAGTGACCCGAACCAGAACTGCAGTCAAACTGGGGTTCCTCAGACTTTTTGGTCAAAAAATAAATCAATCAAACAAACATTAACCTAAAATCATTTTTGTTTAATCATAAAAACTGTCAACTTCAAAACAGCTTTTTATTTATTTAGTAAACAAGTTCTGCAGAAAATGTCTTGATTTGACCCAGTAAGACCCGGGAACAGGAGGAGACCTGTCCCCCAAACCTTTTTGGGATCTCTGGAGTCTGAATCTGCGTCCATCTCAGCTCCTGTTCAGAGCTGGAGAGGATACTGACTGGCATGACTAAACTGGTGAGTCTCAGGTACGTCTCAGGTACATCTCAGGTACGTCTCAGGTGAGTCTCAGGTGAGTCTCAGGTGAGTCTCAGGTGAGTCAGGTACGTCTCAGGTAAGTCTCAGGTACGTCTCAGGTGAGTCTCAGGTGACTCTCAGGTGAGTCAGGTACGTCTCAGGTAAGTCTCAGGTAAGTCTCAGGTGAGTCTCAGTTGAGTCTCAGGTACGTCTTAGATGAGTCTCAGGTACGTCTCAGGTGAGTCTCAGGTACGTCTCAGGTAAGTCTCAGGTGAGTCTCAGGTACGTCTCAGGTACGTCTCAGGTGAGTCTCAGGTACGTCTCAGGTACGTCTCAGGTGAGTCTCAGGTACGTCTCAGGTACGTCTCAGGTGAGTCTCAGGTAAGTCTCAGGTGAGTCTCAGGTAAGTCTCAGGTGAGTCTCAGGTGAGTCTCAGGTGAGTCTCAGGTGAGTCTCAGGTGAGTCTCAGGTGAGTCAGTAAGGAGGACACAGGAGCAGCAGGAGGACTTGGATTTAATGAGTCAAACATGTTGACAGAAATGAAAAGAGGAACATCAAACACTGGTCCTTCAATCAGTCTGTTACATCATCACTTCCAGCTCCCCTGCAAACAATCCAAACAAACTGAGCTGTGCTCTGATTGGCCAAGAGTCCTGCTGAGCAGCCAATCAGAGCAGTGTGAACAAATGAATCTTCAAGAGAAAAAAGACAAAAGAAAGGATAAAGGAGAGAGAAGCTGGAGGTCAGGGGTCAGACTGGTGAGATCATGTGACCNTGTCTCACATGTCACTCGTGTCTCCCCTGTCACTCATGTCTCACATGTCTCAACTGTCACTCATGTCTCACCTGTCACTCGTGTCTCCCCTGTCACTCATGTCTCACATGTCTCAACTGTCACTCATGTCTCACCTGTCACTCGTGTCTCACCTGTCACTCGTGTCTCACCTGTCACTCATGTCTCACATGTCTCACCTGTCACTCGTGTCTCCCCTGTCACTCATGTCTCACCTGTCACTCGTGTCTCCCCTGTCACTCATGTCTCACATGTCTCCCCTGTCACTCATGTCTCACATGTCTCACCTGTCACTCGTGTCTCACATGTCTCAACTGTCACTCATGTCTCACCTGTCACTCGTGTCTCACCTGTCACTCGTGTCTCACCTGTCACTCATGTCTCACATGTCTCACCTGTCACTCGTGTCTCACATGTCTCACCTGTCACTCGTGTCTCACCTGTCACTTGTGTCTCATCTGTCACTCGTGTCTCACCTGTCACTCCTGTCACTCATGTCTCACATGTCTCACCTGTCACTCATGTCTCACCTGTCACTCGTGTCTCACCTGTCACTCGTGTCTCACCTGTCAGTCATGTCTCACCTGTCACTCGTGTCTCACCTGTCACTCGTGTCTCACCTGTCACTCGTGTCTCACCTGTCACTCATGTCTCACCTGTCACTCGTGTCTCACCTGTCACTCATGTCTCACCTGTCACTCATGTCTCACCTGTCACTCATGTCTCACCTGTCACTCGTGTCTCACCTGTCACTCGTGTCTCACCTGTCACTCATGTCTCACCTGTCACTCGTGTCTCCCCTGTCACTCGTGTCTCACCTGTCACTCGTGTCTCCCCTGTCACTCGTGTCTCACCTGTCACTCGTGTCTCCCCTGTCACTCGTGTCT